TAGTGGCTACCATACTGAACTGTGCAGATGTACATTTCCATCATTGCTAGGAGTTCTGCTGGACAATGCTGATCTCAAGGCTGCCTCGCTGCATACCTGCTAGCCAGGCCAGCCAGAGGCAGTAACAACATGTCCTCCTGGGGCTCCATCGTCCACACAGTGATGCTAGCAGAGACCGCACCAGACCTCATGGCACACATGGTCCTTCATTTCTGAAGTCTCCAGATGCCAAGCCTCTCTGTGGCAGATCCTCCTAGGGACTGACACTGGACAAGGCTCCATGGACCTTGAAGCAGAGGCATTACTGCTCGCAAACACAAGTCAAGCTGAAACTAGTGTGTGGGGCTGCAGTCACAGGATGTCAGAAATAGTGGGATCTTAGGAAAATCCAACCCAACCCTTGCATTTCAGAGTATATTACTAAGGCCATACTGGGGTGTGACCTGGTTCCTGGCCACAAGAAGCTGGTGGAAAAGCTGAGGGAGCTCTCGGACAAGTGAAAAGTCACACCCTGATGCACATGCCCATGGGTAGCAGTCTGGAATCCTGTAAACCCACCTGGGCACCCTATCGCTTCAGAGGAAAGTATATGGGAAGCTTTTAAAGGACTCCTGGAGAGGTGGCAGGGGCAGCCGAGGAGAGATTTGTTCTTTGGGCATCAGATGAGGCTAGAGCGCTGGTGGTGAAGCGAGCATTTTTAAGAAAAAGCATGAATTTACTTTCTCTAGCAAACCAGCCAACACCTATTTTGTGGCCTTCTTTAAAAAAAAAAAAGCATTATTTTTTTAAAAGGCACCTGCAAATTCCAATGGATAGGCATCCTACAAAATCTCTGACCAGTATTCCTCAAAACTGTCAAAGTCATGAAAAACAAGTAAAGTCTGAGAAACTGGCACAGCCAGAAGGAGTCTAGGGAGACATGAGTACTACATGTGATGTAGTGTCCTGGATGGGATTTATTGACATTTCCTTAGTTTGTACCTACTGTCCTTTCCAGGAAATCTCAATAAAGTATGGGCTTTAATAATAACGTATCAATATTGGTTCATTAATTGTAACAAACGTACCACACTAATGTAAGATGTTAATAATACGGGAAACTGGGTATGGGATGTATGGGGCTCTCTGAACTATCTTTTCCATTTTTCTGTTAATCTAAAACTGTTCTTAAAAAAAGGCTATTAACATTTTTAAAATCACTTATTATTAAAATTAATTTTAAAATTAAAAATTTTAAAATCATTTAAAAATTATTTAAAACTTAAAAATTCAATTATAAAAACTGAAGAGTGTGCATCTGCCTCCTTTATGTTTACCATCTCCCCATATGTTTCTCTTTCTTCCAAGTGTTACAACCTGCATGTTACCCAAATACAGGCCCCGAGTCTGCCGTTCCCCCCGCATCGTGGCACTTCCACACCTAGACTACGAGCTTTTCAAGGACAAGGATCTGGTTTCCAACCTAGCTTATTTCTTTTCCTTCTTTTTCCTTTTCTCCCCCATGCTCTTTCTCTTCTGCAATTTGGCAAAGGCACTTTTCACATAACTAGAATCAGTAATAATACAGTCCCTTGAATTATTTAGGATTCTGTGTATGCCAAGTGTATTTGCCTATATAAATCTCACTTTTCACCACAGCCCTGAGAAGGGAGCATTATCGTTATTCCCATTTTACAGAAGAGTAGATTGAGGCTCAGAGAGTTTGGGCTACTTGCCCAAAGCCACACAGGGAATAAGTGGTGAAAGGAGCAGGACCAGAACCTTCACCTGCTGGTGTGCTTTTCCCACTGGTCTTGCCCCTTCCCTACTCTGTGGGGATGGGCTATGCGGAGGGGTTCCCAGCAGCCACCCACCTCTCAGTTGGTGTTCTGGGGGCCTAGGTGATTCTTGGTTGTGTAGGCAGGGTGACCCCTCTCTCAGGGACCTGGAGAAAACGGGGTTGTGCTGTATTAGGAAGCTAGGACCTGCTAGGGTACAGAGACCTGTGCCTTCAGGCTGGGGTAGCTGCCTTTAGTTGTGAGCTGTGAGGGCTCAGGGGAAATAAGGGCACAGTGGAGAACCTCAGTAGTGGTCTTTGAATCTCCTGGGCCCCTGGGGGCCATTCTAAGTGGCAATCCCTGTAAGAACCCAGTTATTGCCAGCAATTACAGAGTCATATTTAGCTGCAGGGCCAGCTGGGCTGAGGCTCAGGCTGGGTCTCATCCCTTCCTCCAGAAGGGCAGACTTCTTCACTGCGTCAACCCTCAGCACAACCATGTCCTGCAGTGCAGATGGCTCGCTCTCAGAGTGGCTCTGCAAACATGGCTTGAATTCCTGTGGCGAACCTTCCAAGCTGAGCCTCTGGGAAAGAGGGTGGGGGCTGCAGGCCACCCCTGCTGGGCAGCAAAGGCCAGGCGGCAGGGCACTGGGAAGTGCACAAGTCTAGGACCATTACCTGCCTGGGTTCACTGGGTGACCTGAGTGACTCTGAGGGTAGAAAGAGCAGGTAGAAAAACAAGTTTTGCTGAGAATTGTTCCTCAGCACAGCACTGCGGCAGCTCTGGGAGAACACGGGGTTATAAAAAGAATGCAGGATTTAAAATAAGATCAGGGTTCCTGCCTTTGGCAGTTAGCTGTGTGGCCTTACATGTACCCTCCCTCCTTTGTGCCTCACTTTTCTTATCTGCATAATGGGAATGAAAGGATTTACTTCAGAGTTGGGGTAATCACATGAGACGACGCAATGTAAACATGCTCTACGTGCTGCATGCTGTCACCAGGTGACTGGTGCTGGGAGCTCTCGGACAAGTGAAAAGTCACACCCTGATGCACATGCCCATGGGTAGCAGTCTGGAATCCTGTAAACCCACCTGGGCACCCTATCGCTTCCAATAAAAGGCCAAGAAAACAAAATAGCCAATATGGCATAAAAACAAACAAAAAACCTCAGGACCACTTACTGAGAAATTTTGAAAAGGTTTACATTTTACCTTGTTCTTATTTGATTTGGTGTGGACAGAGGTGAATTTCTCCCAGGAATGTAAGCTTTTCCTATCTCCTCTCCAAATGGCCTGCTGGCATTTAAACGGGACTTAAATCATGTATTTGTCCACTTGCAATTTGTCTCTTCAGATGTCATTAAACTTTGAAGTAGAAGTTTAGTCCAGGAGCAGTGATTAGCAGTGCTGTGTTTGCTCTGGATTCTCTAACGCCCCCAGGGTGGGCTGTGGTCTCCATCAACTTCCAATCCTGTTCATTTCCATTTTCTCCAATCAACAGGTTTTCCTGGAGCACCCACCTTAGGTGCCCGAGGACCCTTGGTCTTCTGTCTTTTGGGGGGTGGAGAGAGAGAAGGAGGGGTGTTTTCGGCAGGTAAGAATGTGCTCTGGCATCCCAGGAATCTGCACACAATCTGAGCTCAGACCAGCTCAGTTTCCTGCCCAGCTCTGGGTCATGTTCCCCCTCAGAGGCTGAGCCTGTCCTAATGATTCACGCAGCTGCCTTGACATCCCTTCAGGGGTTGAAATTTTTCCAGGCCCAGCTTAGGGAGTCTATAGCTCAAGGTTAAACACACAGCCCTGGAATCAGACTGAATGCATTTGTATACCAGGCCCCCACTTCAGCTGTGGACAACCTCAGCATCCTCATCTATAAAATGGGAATAATCACAGTACTTTAGAGCATAGTTTAGTATCTAGCAAATAGTATACACTCACTAAATATCGGATGTTATTATTAGGAGTATCAGAACCGCTGCTAGGTGGGCGAGAAAAAAAGATACAAAATCAATTTTGTTACTAATGGGCTTGTTTGGGGAGCCAGTTGAGGCTGATGGCAGGAAATAGGCTTTGGTTCTGCTCTAGTAATTACAGGGCCACATTCATTATCAGTTTAAAAAAACTGAGGGTGGATTCTATGAGAATCTTAAACAGTCCCAGACCCCACAGTTGGGACTTCATAGAAGCCTTGGGAGCTTGGGAGCTGTCATAATAAAGCTAGAAGACACTGCAGGTTCAAATCCTCAACAAGCACTATATCCAGTGCAGAGGAGGGCCACCCAGGACCAGCCCAGGACCTACGGGAGCACCCCTTCTGCCCCCCTCCCAAGACCCCTGCCCACCCATCCCAGGCCCGCTGCGTGCTCCCTCCCAGAGCAGGTAAGAGCACAGGTAAGGCTAGCACCTGATGGCGACGCCCTGGGTGATAGGCTGGTGGCTGTCACCAAGTCTCAACAGGCTCAGAAGCATCAGGAACATAGCCCCTGGCAGCCACCGCCCACCATGTGGCCAAAACCAAGCACTATATCCAGACACAAATCAGAACTCAGATTCGGACAGCAAGGTTTCAGACCCTCACGATGCAGCCACTCCAGTTAACCTCACTTACACAAGCACTGCACCTGACTTTCCAACAGTGAGCACGGCTTCCTGCTGTCATGTTACCACGGTGAACCTGCCTTGCAAACACTGAGAATGCCCTCTGCCTGGTACTTTAATTTCCTCTCAGCAGTGAGCATGAGAGTTTCCTCTTCCTTCACACTTAGTAAACTTCTCCTGTCCCTGAACCCCAGAGAACTGATGTCTCAATGTTGTCAGTGGCCTGGGGGAGTCCTCCCACTCGGGGCTTAGCCCAGAGCCTGACGGTTTCATGGCCCACTGGTAATATTGGCCCTGGGGGTAAAGAGGCCAAGGGGTGGCTAAAATCCAGAAGCCCCTTGGTCCTCCCAGTGGCAGCATCTTTGTCGGGGCTTAGCCCAGAGCCTGACGGTTTCATGGCCCACTGGTAATATTGGCCCTGGGGGTACAGAGGCCAAGGGGTGGCTAAAATCCAGAAGCCCCTTGGTCCTCCCAGTGGCAGCATCTTTGTGACCTGAGCAACTAGCCCAGTGCTGCCCCTGGAGGACAAGAAATTCCAGGGATCTTCTGCAAATGGAAACCACCAGCCTGCTTGGGAAGAGAGACAAGTGACAGATTGCCCCTTACCCCTTCCCCCCACAGCTTGCTCTGGATCCCATCACTTACCTAGGGCTCCTTGGCAGATGTCTGTGCGGGTGGCTCCTCCAATGATAAACTGGGGATCAGCGCAGATCTCCTGGGAACGAGACCCATAAAGCATTGTCAGCCCACCAGGCAGGTGCTTTTGCAGTTAGGACATCTCACTTCCCCCATCAGCTCCCTTCTAAGAGTGAGAGCTTTGTGCTGTGGGGTCCCTTCTGAGCCCTGCTCTATAAGCCCTGTTGCCAGGGGCGGGGGGCGGTGATCCTCCCAGCTGAGGACAGTCACTGGACCCCACACACTCCAAATTGCCTAAAGCCTGCTTCATCATACTGTTCCCCAGGGGCTGTGGCTGCACCAAGTCCAGCCTCCTGCACCAAGTGTTGAGACCCTCCGTATCAGCTGTCCTACCTGCCAAGCTAGCACCCTCTCCTCCACTCCTGCATGCAAGTTGTTTTGCTTGGATGGAATTCCTCCCTTTCCCACCTTGTTCCCTCCTTTTCCACATTGTACCATATTTCGAGGCTCATTGCCTCCTCCTCCCCGAAGCCCTCCTTTATAGTCCAGCCCTCACTCATCCCCGAGTCTTTGTACTCTGCAATTTGGTACTTAATTGGGCACTGTCTAGTTAGTGGTGCTTATGGGTATTGCTCTGTCTCCCTAACACATACACTTCTTGAGGGCAGGGGACTAGATCTAGCCCCTCTGAACTCTTCCATAGGCCATGATATTTGGGGCATCTATATACTCTGTACCCGCTGTCTGTCAGGTGCTGTACTTGGAGATTTATCTCATCTGAGGAACACAAGATGGCTATCGTCCCCATTTACTGGGTAGGAAACAGCTCAAGGAGGTAATGTGATAATGTCCAAAGTCACGCAGCTCACACATGATAGACAGCAGTGGGATCTGAACTCACTGGTCTAAAGCACAAACTATTTCCACTGTGCTGCCTCTAATTGATTAGTAACAAGCCTCGAAGGGTGTTAAAACCTCAGGGGCGATTGTCAGGAGCAGCCTGATAGAAACCAACCTTGGACAGTTCTGGCCCTTTCAGCAGTCCCCTCTGACTGTGTTTCCTGATTCTGAGGAGCTCCACCCCAAAGCCACAGAGGAAGTCAGGGCACAAATCTGGTCTTCTCAGCTTGGGCAACCTTGATTTGTAGGAGCTGCTCCCACGTCTCCTGTCTGCTGGAGTACTGCATGTGCGCACCTCTACCACACGCTCCTTGGTGTGCTAGACAGAGATGTCAGGCAGAAGCTTTTCTGGGCTAGACCTGGATCTGGCCCCTGTCTGTCCCTGCTCAGACTGCAGAAGGTCTTCTGGAAGGACAGTCTGCCACACGGCACGCTCCTTTCATGCCTCTGCACTGTCTCTTTGCTCAGGTCAGTCTGTTTTGGGGATGACAGGGACAATGAGAATGCTCTTCTTCTGAGGTGAACAGAGGCAGCTTTGCCCAGGGACTGCCAGCCAAGCGCTCATCCAGCTGATGGGATAGATCGAGCTCGGCACTGTGAGCCTCTTCATTATAAAGAACCATACTGATAATCCTGAGTGTGCCAAGCACTTACCCCAGAAGAGTTCTTACACTATGTTTTAGAAACCTTCTCATGCCTTTGGCAGTCTCTCCAGAGAAGTCAAAGTGGTGCTCAGAGATGCTTCAGAAAACTGAACCTTATGCACAGCATGTAAAGCATCAAATTAAAGATGGGACGTTAAGAGTCTGAGGAAAGGGGTTGAGGGCTTGGGCTTTGGATTCTGATAACTCGGGTCTCAACCCTGGCTCTGCCACTTATTACATAGGTCCTATGACCCTGGCAAGTTACTTAACCTCTTGAAGCCTCAGTTTCCTCATCTGTAAAATGGGGATGGTGATTTACCTACCACTGAGGATTGTTCTGATAACTATGTAAACGTTTCTTGGTAAGCACTCCATAAATGTTACTCATTATTATTATTATTACTGAAGAAGTCAATGATAATAATCACCAAATCTGAAGACAGGACATGTGGGTCTGAGGCTGAGTTCAGCCAGCTGCAGATAAGCCAGTCATAAACCTCTCAGAGGCTTGGTTCTCTCAGAGGAAAGTCAGGGACTGACACCACCTGCCCTGGCTCCTACCTGTCTGGTTGTTGGGAGGTTCTGAAACGCCACCCTTCAATCGTGCCGGCTTCCTCCTGTCCCCTGCACCAGCCCTTGGACCTCACCGTGACTTTAGGCATTTCCTGTGTTATCCCCCTTCCGGTCCCTGGAGCCACTCTCCTGCCAGTGTCGTGAAATCCCCTCTCAGGAAGAGCAGTCCCTCCTCACCGCAAGGCTCACCGCTGCCCTGCCCAGCCCGCATGCCCACTTCTCACTTCCCCTGCGACCTGTTTCACTGTCTCCTCCCGCCTTTATCTTTACTCTCTTCCTCTCTGGTGACTCACATATAACATTCCAAGTTGCTCTCATCTGAAAAACAGCCTCTCAAACCGCAGGTCCTGCTCTACCTACCAGTTTCTCTCTCTTTTCACAGGTGCTTTCTTAAATTAGTTGCTCACATCCTTCGTTTCCAGTTCCCTTACTTTGGCATCTACAGCAATCTAGCCTCTGCTCTCACCTCTCCACTGAAATTACTCTGTAAACGTCACCAATGACTTGCTAATGTCCAAATCCAGTGGAAACGTTTTTGTTTCTCCTGCCTGGCCCCAGCATGTTTGACAAAGCAGGACAGAGGCAGAGGGCAGCTGTAAGGCTGGGCTCTAAACCTGCACAGGCTAGACACAGTCCTAGCTGCACCCTGTACACACACTCGACTCTGAGCAAGCATTTAACCTTCCCAAGCCTCAATTCCTTCACCTGCCAAATGGGAATTATAATAGTCACACTTCTCTCAGCTGTACCGTGCACAGCTTGCCTTGCCTAAGCGGTGGCCTGAAATGGCTCTAGATCTTTATTTCCTCATCTGGAAGTGTCATAGACATTTCCAGCTGTTGGGAGACCTGTCTGTCTCCCCTCACCAGCCTCTAAAGTCTTCAAAAGCAGAAACTGTGTGCATTCTGCCAGGCAGGTAGTAGGTGTTCAATAAATGCTTATGGCATGAATGAAAGAATGAGTGAATGACTGTGTGAATTCACTGTGTAAACTGTAAAGTACTATACAAATGTAAGGTGAACACATTAATTTCATTTGAGGCTCATTACAACCCTGCATTCATTCATTCTACAAATAGCCACTGTCTTTTTTGTTCATTGATGTATCCTGAGCATTTAGGACAGAGCCTGGCATATAAACAGGTGCTCAATAAATATTGTTGAATGAATACACGAATGAATACTATGAAAGGGCACTACATTTGCTAGGCGCTGGGAATATACTGGTCCCTGCAGTTCAGAAGGAAGGACTAAGAAATACACGTAATTACATTAATAAATTGTGACAGTGCTGCGAAGGAAATGAGCAGGGAGCAGCGACAGAGAATAATGAGGTGGGGGAGGGAGCTGCAAAGAACAGTGGGGAAGGGTCCTCTCCTTGCTTAGTGAGGAGGAGAGCAAGCCAGACTCCAGACATGCCTGGCAAGGGAGAAGGCCTGAGGCGGGAAAGAACAGGCGAGCCTGATGAGCCAGAGAGGAAATACTGAGGCGTCATTTCTTCTAGACAAAGAAATAAGGCACAGAGAGGTTAAATAGCTCACCCAAGGTCACCCAGGAGCTTAGCAAGAATGAGAACCTAAGTGCTCTGGGCCCAGGGCCGGGGCACTTCCAGCGTTCTTGCTGCCTCCGGGTTGGACTTAGGGGAGTGGAAGGGGCCCTGGGAGGCTCAGGGGGGTGGAAGCAGGGTGGGAAGGCTTTTTCTCATAGCAGGAATCCGGAAGTTGGATTTCCCAGGAAGCCTCCTCTAGGCGTGGTGGGGAAGCCTGGTGAAGCGTCGGTAGGAGGGGGGGCCAGCAGGGGTCCAGGGGACACAGAGCGGACGAGCAGATTGGGGAGCTGAAGCTGTCCCAAGGCCTGGGAGGGCCGGAAGGGCAGAGACCGTGAGGAGTGCTTGGAAGGGCCCCGGGGCCCCGGTGACGACTCTGGGCCGGTGGAATGATGATGGGGCCCGGCTTCTCGGGGCACCTCCACGTCCTTTGTTAGGGACCAATGGAAACATTACGGGGAGGTTTCGCTAACTCCCGTTTGGGAAAATAAAGAAACTCTGGTTGGATAAATCTAACCAGCACAACTGCATGAGGCCATCCTCCGTCACAGAATGACCAGGCTGTGGACTGTCCCCCTCCCTGAAGCAGAGGGAACCCGTTAGGACAGACTGTCCCTTGCCGGATGTCGCGTCCCGCCCTTTCCCGCGGACCCACGTCACCTCCCACCATCTCCTCACCAGAGCCCGGTGGAAGTTTCAGCCCGGCCTCCCGGGTCCCCCTGAGCTCTGCGCAGCCCGAAGGCGGCTCCCGGGCGG